TGATTGTTGGTGAGCCTTTGGGTTATTCTCTATCAAATATGTAGAGGTTTTGAGTATGCTTGCATAACTAGCCTCAGTACTATTATTAGTTTCTTGGGATGTTGAGTTGTTAGTAGACTTAGATTTTAGCTTATTAGTCTAAATATATATGATAAAATATTATATAAAGATTTTTAGTTTGAAAATTTTTTATATAAAGCTTTTTCTTATTTTTTAGTAATATTAGAGCAAATAATTTTTAAAAATTATATAATTTGATTAGTTAATTGTTACAGGTAATCACAGGTAGAAGATTATACAAATAGTGTCTAATTAAAATAAACTTTTATCATGCTTAAGTATACATTATTTAATTTATATATGATTAACTTTTTAAAGCTATTCTAATATAAATTTTATAATATTCTATTATAACAAATTTTAATATACAAAAATTTATAGTTTTTTTATTTGTCAAATATTTTAATTAAACTTGATAATTTATGAGAAGTTTTTTGAATTGCTTTATAAAAATTTAATTTTATATACTTTTAAATACAGAGAATAATATATTTTAAAACTAGCTATTACTTATAATAGAGTTTAAAAATACATATATTAAACTAAGAGGGCTAACAAGTATTAGCTCATTATACCTCTCTGAAATTATAATTTGATACCACAGAGTAAGATATTTAATATATATAAATAATATATATGACAAATTTATATATATTATTTATATATAGAAACATCTATAGCAAAAGGATACAATAGGCTAAAAATATTAAATTTGTAATTTTATAAAAATTGAAAGCTAATTGTTCTAATTTTTTAAAAAATTGAGTTTAGAAAAAAAATTCTTTTTAGCCCATTGTACCTTTTTGCTATGAGAGTTACTATATATCAAATATATGATCCTAAAGATATCCAATTAAAATTCTAGAGGGGTATAATAAGCTAATACTTGTCAGCCCCTAATAATAATTTTTTTATTTTTTATTTTTAATTAAAAATACTAAATATACTTAATAAATTTTATTTAAAATTTTTAAAAATATTAGAATATACATTGCAGAAATCTTTAATTTTTTTAAATATTATAACTATATTGTAAAAACCTTGCTATATGATCATAATGTTATAGTAATGAGATTTTATTAAAAATATATAGATTACAATATTTAATCAAGATTATATCAAGATTATGACAAGATTACAACAATATAAATTATTTTTATAACTCTAATATTATTTTAATATTATATTTTAAATTTTCTATATTTTATCTAAATATTATTTTAATATTGCGATGATAATATAAAGATATAGTATAGAGAAAATAATTTATTATATAGCTATATTATTGTTATACAAATAAATCTGTATCTTATTTAAATATTATTATTTTTTTTTTTATCTTGGCAAGGAAGACTGGTGATTCTTTATTAGATATATTTAGAATACATACATAATTGTTCGAAATATTTTACAACCTATTATTAGGCTATGTTAACCTAATACAGAAATCTGACAACATTACCCAGCTATCTATATAGATACCCAGATATATTCTTGTTGCACCACTAGCGTGCCAAGACCGAGGCCAACACTTGTAGTCAGAGTACTTTTCAACTTTAGAGAAGCATTGTTATTAAACCACTGAGCTAGTGGAGGAGGATCATACCCATACTGATGCTACTCCTGCATTCTAAAACTACTGTATCTAGCTAAACCTATGTTCCCTGCTTCTACCATCTTGCTTCTGTACAACTCCCAAATTGGTAATATTCAGGTTATAGATCTTTATGATCTTCCAGTTTGGTGTGCCATATTATTGTTTTCTCTAAGGTGTTCTGACATTGGTCCAGGATCTGCAGAAACTCATATCTCAAGCCAAAAACTGCTGTTTAGTTAGGTTCACCACATGGCAGTATTGGTATTTCATTGTCAGGTAACCCCTACCACTTATCTGCCCAGGTACTACTAACCCGTATCTCAAGCTAGTTTCTGCTACCACAGCTCAACCACAGATACCTCAAGTCTTAACATTATACAGTTACTTGGCACCTTCTTCAGTTCTTCTAAGTACTACCTGCTATGGTGAGTTTAGGATATATTTCACAAGCATCCAGGACAATTCTGGTTATACCCAGGGATTTTACCAACCCTAGTGATACCATACTACCATATAATGCCTAGTATGTTGTCATACAATACCAGGACAATTCCGGTTATTCCTAGGGAGTTATACTGACCCCAGTGATGCTGTACTACTATTTATTATTGTAAACTTCAGAGGTTGGTAGATCCTAGACTTGTTCATCATAAACTTCCATATAGATGTGACCAGAACCTGATTCAGTACCTTTATACGTATACAGAATGTCAGACAACCTCTATAGTCTTTAGCCTTTTATAGTATCTTTATTCTGCTTTTTCAGAGGTGCTTCTGATTCTGGTAAGGCCAATTCTTTACCACAGACTGTCCACATGTTCACCACTTTTCTCATCACTTCCAACTTTGGTTATGATGATCACCCTCCCAAGCAAGTACCTGTATCTTCTTTCCAAATAAAGACTTATTCGCACAATCTGTTGACCACCCTTCCAAGCAAGTACTCCACAAGTTAGATGTAAGGATGTTGGTATTGCCAAACTTGAAGATACAAGGATATTAGTGCTGCCCTGTCTCTTAAAAACTTATTCACGCAATCTTCATAGCCACAGTCTTTTGTAATACTATAGTTACATATAGTACCAACACTCCATATTTAGATCTCCTTCTGATAATTCCTATTCCAGCTTCATACCTGCACTTGAACTTGGCCACAGGGCTCCGCATTCAATTATAGCCCCGAAGGTTATAGAAACAAATTATTCAATTTGCCTCCAGCCCGACTTGAACCGTCGACCTTGTCTGTAGGAGTTTGAGAGCTTAACCAATAAGCTACAGGACCCAAACCCATTTAAATATTATTTTAATATTGTGATGATAATATAAAGATATAGTATCGAGAAAATAATTTATTATATAGCTATATTATTGTCATACAAATAAATCTGTATCTTATTTAGATTTTATTTTAATATCATAGTGATATTATAAAGTACTTAGTACGATATAGTATAAAGACTATTTTACGAAATAACTATGCTATTGTAATATTTAAATAACATCAAATCTTTATTATATATCGCAGCTCTTACTGGTTGCATTTTGCCTATACCTTTAGTTACGATTACCAGTTTTAACACAAGATCGACCACTAACATCTCAATACGAAGAGTTAAGTTAGCTTTATTTTAGCATTTTTACTTGATCATAAATAAAAGATAAATTTTTTAAATTTTATTTTATGTTCTTTATATATATAAAGTTTGACTCTAACTAATTATATCATAATTACTTATTCAACTTTTTGACTCTTAATTTATTTGATCAATGATTGTGATTGATTCACATAATCATGAGACCAACGCGAAACTAATTTAAAGTGATAAATATTGCACATTACTATTTTTATTTTTTTTAAATTGATTCTAACTCTTTTTTTAATTCAGATAGATACTCTTCGATTGTCACACTATGTACCATATATCTTGAGCACCAATTTTTGCCGCAGAACTGATGTTGACCGTGATATTATATATAGTGAATAAAATAATAGAAACATGATAGTGTGGGTATAAATCAATGAATAATTCAAATATCTGTAAGATATATTTGAACTACTATCATGCTAAAATATGTCTTACAGATATTTGATTTATTCACTGATCTATACCCATACTATCGTGTTTTTATTTTTTTAATCACTACGATTTAATAATATATATATTTATATAAACTTTTCAAAAGTTTAATTACAGAAAACATTTTTGTGCAACTACTGTATTATAATCAAAGATTAAATCATAATTAAAATCAAGTTTTTTAAGTAAAATCCAGATTTTACTATAAAATTAAATTTTATAATATATATTACGTAATTTCACTTTAAAAAAAGATATAAAGCAAATTATTTGATATATATTATTAAATAATTAGTCGATATTCAAAGATACTAATACTGAAGATAATATGAAGACAAGAAAATCTTTGTGTGAAAAAAGTGCTACTCTAAATGAAACATCTGCTAGTAAGAAAATGTATTAATATATAGATTATAATAAAAATATTTACTTATTTTATATCCAATAGGTATAAAGAAACAATCAACTAATAGTAAGTGAGATAGAAAAAAGAAAGTACCAAATAAGCAAAAGGTTTTTCAGTAGAATGGTAAGAAATATATCTGCTATATTTTAAAAGTATTTATGTATCTTATATTTCCTATATTTCTTGAAGAAATTGAACAAAATTTTAATGAAATTACAAGTAGTAATCTATTATTTTTAGTTATTATTAGTCATTATATAGTTTTATTATATAATTAATATCTACAAATCAATAATAAAATATTTATCTATTTATAATAGATACAGAAAAGCAAACAGCTAGTAATCAAGGTAGAAAAAAAAATTACCGGTTTCTCAATATAATGGTGAGAAGTATATCTGCTATACCTCAAAAGTATTAATATATAATCTATTTTTTATAGTTTCTATATTTTTTACAGATATTGAAGAAAGTGAAAAAAATTTTAGTGAAATCACAAGTAGTAATTATTTTAGTTGTTATCAATTGTTGTATAGTTTTGTTGTATATTAATACAAGTTAATATTATGTTATAATAAAATATTTGTCTATTTCTAATAGATACAGAAAAATGATTAACTAATAAGTGTGGCAGAAAAAAAAAATATCGACTTCTCAATATAATGGTAAGAATTATATTTCAAAAATATTTTATTTAATCTAGTTCTTAATTTCTTATATTTTTTATATTTTTTATAGATATTGGCGAAATTGAAGAAAATTCTAGTGAAATCACAAGTAACAACTAATTATTTTTATTTATTAATAGTTGTTAGTTTATTATATTATTAATACAAACCAATAGGTTCGCCACTAAAAAAACAAAGACTACATAAAGATAAACATATAGAATCTTATATGAATATAGATGAATCAGACCAAGAGGATCAAGAATCAAATTCAGATATAGAAACTGACAATAATGATATAATAGAATCAAGGTTAACATCACCTTTACCTCTAAACGAAGAGAAATTATCCAATAAAAGATTATTAGCCAATAATAAAAAATTTGAAGAACTTAATTGTAAGTAATTAATAGATACTGACAACGTTATTAGCTTAAGAATTCTGAATGTTAATTAATATTTAACTAGACAATCAGCAAATTTCACAAAAACCAGATGAACTTCAAGAAATTTCAAGTAAATTTGAAGCTGCTGCTTGGTTAGCTAAACACTCACATATACTTGATTTAGCATTTGAGATATACAATGCAATATCACGAACTTTGGAAAATTCTCAAGAATCTTTATCAAAATTAAAGTTTTTGTTGAGTGATAGAATGTCATTAATTACTTTAGTGCCAGATCAGGAATATATTTGTTATTTTTTTGCAATATTTTTTTATTTATTTATTTATTTAATTTTAACTATATAATTATAAATTTAAATAGACAATGATAGCAAACTTAGAACTTGAAGCAAAAGCATTATTTTTAAGAACAAGGAATAATATTCCTGCATTGTATACTGAATTAGCATCTGCTATATATGGTATCTCCAAAGTTGACAAGCAGATGCCAGCATTAATTAAGAAGGTTGGTAGTTGCTTTGATGATTATTGTTATTGCCTCCTTGCAAAGCTTTGAAAAAGAGCTGATGAATGTTTGAATCAATTTGGGTAAGTTTTAAAAATAAAAAAATAATGAATGTTGCTATTTACCACCAGTGGTAATATTACCGAGATACTATATTTCAACAATTTACTTGCTAACTCATGTCAGGAGTATTAAGTAAAAATGGTCAGAACTCTAAAAACCTAAAAACAATATATAAGAAGTGGTGGTATCACCACTAGTGGTAAATACTAAAATTAAAAATTAAAAACTAAGCAATTATTAATATTAACTATCAAATTATAGTAATATTGCTCCTACTGATGCCTAACTTCTGGACTTTATTTCTGAGAATATATAGTGTGAGATACTTTCTCAATTTCTTGAAGCAACAGAACAGCCTGCTCTTCGTAGTAATAAAAGAATATGGAATGCCTTGAGTGATTTTGTTCGAGAAGCCATTAAGAAAAATTATTATTTCAAAATTATAGAAAACTGATATGAAAGTAGCACTTCGTAGTTGTGATGCAATTACTGTTAACTTGCCAATTCCAACTGTACTTGGTATTGTCGTTCGTTTGCCAGTTCAAGATTTATTAAAATATAAAACCGATCAGCAAAGAAGTAAATAGAGATAAGAATAGCAGTAATAGTTATATTCACTATTATGTAAATTAATTATCAAATGCTTATTGATAGCAATAGTTACTATTATTACATTACTGCAGGTAAAAAATTTAAATAAGTTTCAATTAGATATATTTCTAATACGTATACATTAGAGACATATTAGATTATTTAATCGAATTTGAAAGTTTTTTTTTGTTATAACTTGAGAATGGCATTACTAAATTTCTGAATTAAGATATATAACTAATTCTGATTGTTAAGTTTTAAGCATGACTTTGAATCGTAAAAATTTTAGTACTGTAGTATAAAACTTAAAAAAATTGTATAATAAAAGACAGAATGAAATAAGAAACTTTTATTCTTATTTAAATAAATAACCTATTTATTCTTTATATATCTGCGATAAATCTCTATTTCTTGTATATATTAATATAATATTACTTCATCTAACAATTTTGTAATATAAATTAAATCTAATCACAAATTACAAAAAATTTATTTTTACTAAATTAAATATATGTACATACCTTATAGAAATAAGCAAGCACTATAGTTTTTATACAGTCTTATAAAAAAACTCATTTTTAATATATTTTTAATCATTATTGGTAGCATGCTCTTGATCATGATTTTGCATGCATGCAGGTAAAAAATAAATTTTTTGAATATGGTGAATACATGAGATTGGATAAATTCGAAGAAATTGTTGATTATTCATTATTTGTTTGTAATATGGGCAGTCTAAAATCAAGTCTTTTGTATTAGTTACTTGAAGCTATTTTAAGACAAAAAAAATTGCAGATTCATTATTATTTGCTTGATGTTGTAAAATCGCTTGTATTTTTGCATATGTAAGGCCTGCACTTTCTTTTTTAATTTTAATTATTTCACCAACATGAAATTTAAGTCGAGTTGATTTTTATCATTTTCAATAATAGTATATGAAATATAATCAAAAAATTCTAATTTATTATTAAGAAAAGCACTTTGTAAATTAAAATATTCTGAATATGATATATGTAAATCATGAAAAAGAGAATGCTAACTGCTTAGCTTTGTTGACCATCCTTCAATGTTTGCTCTTGTTTTTGGCCATTTATTTTGTAATACTATTTCTATAAATTTTTTTGGTATCAAATTTGAGATAATTTCAATTTCTTTAATATCATTATTGTTATTAATTTTTAAGTTTTGCTCTGTAGTATATTGTTTGCAAAGACTTAAATATAATGAAATGTCTGGAGAAATATTTGATAATTTATTTATAGTTGTTAGAAAATGGTAATCTTTGCCATCTTCAAATAAGTGAGTTAATGCAAATGAGGTATTATATCGCCCAAGGAGATCTAGTTTAATATTTTTGTAATTAGTATGTGGTACCATATTTTTGTATAGTTTGTATACCATTTCTTTGACTCCAACAGATATGTTCACAAGAGTTGCAAATATACAAGCATGTTGTGGCAAATAGACATTTACATGAACATTAGGTAAGTTTTCAAATATGTCTAGAAAAATCTTCAAAAAACCAATTTGTTCTTTTTCAAACAAACTGCAAAGCTCCTTATAAGTGTTATTTGTTATTGTTGAGAAAGCCAACTTAAGCAGTTTTGCTTCAACTAGCCAAAGTTCTATTAGTTTAATAATAGCATGATCATTACGAGTAAGCTTATATACATTTTTTAAATGTTTAATTATTTCAGCCTTTAAATATGAAGGTGATAAAAAGTAACGTAGAATAAATAGCATTAACATTGCCAGGCGTAAAGTATCTGAAAATGTAAAACTATGACGATGGGTTAGCAGATTTGGCATCTGTGACTATCTTGCTAGTTTTTTGATACTTTTCCAACACTTAAGCCAAGCTACTTCTCTATTAGTATTTAAATATCTAAGAGTTATATCTAGAAGACATGTAGCTTTACTAGCAAGTACATGATAAGCATCTTGCGGTAATTGTAAATATCTGTCCCAATAAAGAGTATCAAGAACTGGCTTTGCACTAAGCCTATATCGACTAGATAGTTGTCAACAAGCAGAGTTTGTTTGTTGCTATACAATTTCATTATATTGTATATTAGTTAAGTGGTAAAAGTGTGCATTCGTAACAAAGTCAAAGTTGGAGTTTGTTAATTGGCTACTAGATACAGAACAAGTTCTGCAACCATAATTTGCATCATGTCTAAGCACACTAGCAAGGTTATTACCTTGGAGCAAATCAGCTGTAATACAGCCAAGTCTACCAATAAGCTATATTTCTCCTTCCAAAGTATTTATAATTTTTCCAGATTGTAATTGGCGAATATTATCAAGAATTGGTTTAATAAAATCTTTAAATGAAGCTCCAAATAGAACAAAGCCCAGTAGAAAATGATTTTTGAGTAGCTTTTGTAAATCAAGCAGCATATTTCCAATAACTAAATAAACCTCTCCTAATGAATGATATGAATTACAAAATGTTCTAAAATCATCGAAGTAAATATCAAGAAAAACCTTTTTTAATAGGCATTGGTCATAATGGTAATAGTGGAATAGATATATATTTATAAGGAGCTCTGTGCCTTTTAGTAAAGTCACAAATATGCTACTGACTATTAAAACTATATAATATTTCAGTTACAAAATATTCATATTCTACTGGCCTATCAAGATCCTTTAACCAAACATTAATTTGAGTAATATTTTCAAGTATAATCAAATACTCTTGTCCTTCAACAAGCCAAAGTTCTTCCATATTTATTCTATGTGCTTTTCTATTTATACTACGCAAGTGTCCAGAAAGCCCACTATATGGAACAAGCGAATTAGCTCTGAGTAATTGCCTCTTATTAACTTCAACAACACTACAAATACGTGCAAACTTAATTGCTTTGTCTTGGTGATAATATAAAAAATTGCCTGCTTGATAAGTAACTAATAAAAAAAGACTAATTAGTATAGTAAACCAGAGTGCTAAGTTTTATTATTGCTAAAATAAAAAAAAACTGCTAACTATTATTTATACAAAGTTTAGTTTCTCCAAATAAAGACAAGTTCTGCCAGAGTGTACTATGCCAGAACTCATGTTTTTCATCACATACAATACCAGGGCCAAAGTATAAATTAGGCGCAATTGTTGGATTATTAAGAATATATTCAATATAATCTACTGGCATTATTGAATATACAGGTTTGGTTAAAGCTAAATTTGATGGGGTATGCTGTCTAGAAATTAGAACTGTATGACTCCAAACCTTGAGCAATGGAAGTCTATTTCTTTATTTGTAAAAACATCTTATATTTGCAATAATATGTTCAGGCTAAAAATCTGAATGTTTAAGAATTTTGACAAGGTCTTCATAGGCTGCTGTGGAAATTATATGCTCTGTAATCTATAAAAAGAGTATAGTAGATATGAAATTTGGAAAATACGGAT